GGTCTACCCTTAATTTGAAATAACATTCTCAAGCTGCGTACAATGTGTAGACGTTGTTAATTTGAGTGACAAGTTAATTTGTAGAGCTGGCGATTTTCCTGTAAGTTGGTAGCTGCCTGCCATTCTTTACAGAACAAGGTAGATACTGGCAACATTAGGAGACGAAAGGTCCTCATGTTGCAGTTCATTGTCCTCCATCATTGAATAGTTACTTTGTGGCTTGTGTGTTTCGCTAAAGCTGCTCTGGGCGCTAGCAGAAGACTCCCTTTGCATTCCTCAGACTGAGTGTCTCTCCTCTGTGGTTATCGTTAGCTTTCAAGTGATCACACTTTGGTTCTTCGTCTTATCCTCATTAAGGATGCTGCCTACTTGGGAGGATTAGAAGTTGTTTCTGAAAGTATGATAATGGGGCAGGAAAAGATTTTCTGGGATAAAAGGCTCTGAAGGATATGGTGGGGAGAAGAGGTAGAAGGAGAAGCAACTGGGTTTCCCTGGTTAGAGTATTAGTTTAAGGAAAGTGTGACCTCAATCTGTAAAGAGTTTGCAACTTGATATTTAATGGGATTGGGTTTTTAATATTTATAGCATGTTATGTAAATGCTGCCCCTCAAGTGCTTCCTTAAATCCTCTTAGCTTACTAATGACAGCTTTGATTTCTAAAAAGAAATAAAATCTTTTCATTTATCCAGCCTAAGAGTAGTAAACAATAGCTGCTCAATGCCCCCCTTTCATGTTGGCCCCCGAGGACAGACTTGGATTTGAGCAAGTTGATTGCTGGGCTTTTGAGCTTATGAAGGTCACGTGTAACCCAATGGGGGCAAGGTGATGTTGCGTTACCAGCTGCAAAGCAGCTTCTGGGAGTCTCATGTCAGATCAGTTCAGCAGTGCCGGGTAAAGTGAGAGACTTGGCGTCAGGGAAGCTGAGTTTCAGCCCATTTGGAACGATTCTATTTCTCTACTGTTTTCTATTTACGTTTTCTTGCTTTGATTATTTTGGTTGAGATTTCCACCAAGTGATCCCAACGTTGCAATCAAGTGGATGAATAACTGTTTATGGCTGAGCACCATTTCCTGTTGGGCCCTGTTTAGTGGTGTTTATTATTTTTGAGCCTTTCTCTAACAATGGACCTACACCCAGGGGTGATGGCTCTGAAGACTGAGGCAGAAGGATCGTTAGTTAAGAGTTTAGCCTGGTCTACACAAGGAGGGCTGTGTCAGAAGCTAAGGGATGAGACTGTAGCCCAGTGGATGATGCTAGCATGGGGAGGCTTGAGTAAAATTGTATTGACAGAAGTACACACATGCGAGAGAGAGAGAGAGAGAGAGAGAGAGAGAGAGAGAGAGAGAGAGAG